GTGATATGAGCATTAAAAACCATCAAAAAGTTAAAGAAACGCCTTGACTGTTGAAGAAAAACATGGCAATGAGGACAGACAGCTCCCTCTTCTGGTAAAAAGTTGAACAATTCCAACTGAGGAAAGGAGTTTGATGTGTAATGTGGTGACGTCATCCAATAGGCAGAGAGGGTATATAGGTACTGTAAGAAGCAATACTGGACTATCTTAGATTGTTAGACCAAAGGGCTGAAACCATGTTCTCTCTCGTCAGACAACGCCTTATTCTAGTCATCAGTAGGACATTACCGACACTTCTAAACATATGGCACTGCTCACAGAATTATTCACAAAAGTAAACAAAAACCTTTGGAGGAAAAACAACAATAGAATTCTGACATATACAGGAATGCTAAATAAATAAAAAAATATAGCAATTTCTGCATATTATTTTAAATCAGTAAGCATACACTTCATTTCTAAAGTGACAGTATCATCGCACAAATTGGTATAGTATGCAGAAAATCAATATACAATTACATTGCCTTCAGAAAGTTCACACCCCTTTACTTTTTCCACATTTTGTTGCCTGAAGTTAAAATTGATACAAAAATATATATATACCCCATAATGTCAAAGTGGAAAATGTCTTTCAATTTATTTTAACAAATTCAATCAAAATGAAAAGCTGAAATGTCGTGAGTCAATAAGTATTCAACCCTTTTGTTATGGCAAGCCTAAATAAGTTCAGGAGTAAAAATGTGCTTAACAAGTCACAAATTGCATGGATTCTGTGTGCAATAATAGTGTTTAACATTAATTTTGAATGACTACCTCATCGTTGTACCCCAGACATACAATTATCTGCAAGGTCCTTAAGTTGAGCAGTGAATTTCAAAGACAGATTCAACCACAAAGGCCAAGGTTTTCCAATGCCTCGCAAAGAAGGGCCCCTATTGGTAGATTAAATGAAAAAAAAGCAGACATTGAATATCCCTTTGAGCATGGTGAAGTTATAAATTACACTTTGGATGGGGTATCAATACACTCAGTTATTACAAAGATACAGGTGTCCTTCCCTAACTCAGTTGCCGGAGAGGAAGGAAACCGCTCAGTGATTTCAACATGAGGCCAAGCCAATGGTGACTTTAAAACAGTTCCAGAGTTTAATGGCTGTGACAGGAGAAAACAACAATGTAGTTACCCCACAATACTAACTAATTAACAGAGTGAAAACAAGGAAGCCTGTATTCCAAAACATGCATCCTGTTTGCAACAAGGCACTAAAGTAATACCACAAAAGATGGGCAAAGCTATTCATTTTTTGTCCTAAATACAAAGTGTTATATTTGGGGCAAATCCAGTACAACACATTACTGAGTACAACTCTCCATATTTTCAAGCATAGTGATGGCTGCATCATGTTATGAGTATGCTTGTAATCGTTAAGGACTGGGGAGTTTTTCAGGATAAAAAATAAATGCACAGGCAAAATCCTAGAGGAAAACCTGGTTTCGTCTGTTTTACACCAGACACTAGGAGATGGATTCACTTTTCAGCAGGACAATTACCTAAAACACAATGTAAAATCTACAACTGGAGTTGCTTACCAAGACAGTGAATGTTCTGGAGTGGCCGAGTTACAGTTTTGACTTAAATCTGCTTGAAAATCTATGGCAAGACTTGAAAATGGCTGTCTAGCAATGATCAACAACCAACTTGACAGAGCTTGAAGAATAAAACATTAAATATGCAAATATTGTACAATACAGGAGTGCAAAGCTCTTAAAGACGTACACAGAAAGACTCACATCTGTAATCGCTGTCAAAGGTGATTCTAACATGTATTGACTCAGGGGTGTGAATACTTATGTAAATTTGATATTTCTGAATTTAATTTTTCAATACATTTGTAAACATTTTTAAACACGTTTTCACTTTGCCATTATGGGGTATTGTGTGTAGATGGGTGAGAAAAAAAAAAAGTAATCCATTTAGAATTCAGGCTGTAACAACAAAACGTGGAATAAGTCAAGGGGTATGAATACTTTCTGAAGGCACTGTACATACATACATACATGTTCATACATAGACAAGAATCAGTACAGTAATCAAGATTAAAGGATAAGCGATTCCGTTCTGAAACGTCACAATCCCTATTGAACGTGGTGCATTCAAAAGTTACGTCACCGTTTCTCTCAAGGCAACTAGGAACAGAAGAAAAATTAACGAAGGACACCACAAACCTCTTCCAGTCTGGAGACCGTGAGATACAGTTGAGAAGCTAGCCTATACAATGATTGTACAGCCCATGGCGGCAATCCCATTAACAGAGCTTCTCCACCTTTAGGAGTGAAGCCAATGTACCTCAATAGTACCTGTGTCCTGGAGAGAAAAATCAGGGAATATGAGCCAGTGCAATTTTTACATTTTAACCAACAATGTAATAGAAGTCAGCATAAGATGATGTGCAAGTTATGATGACAATTAGTAATAGGCTACTTTTGTCAATAAAATACGTGTGGATATTCATCAGTATGGCCTCCCTAAAAATAGAAGTTTGTGGATTGCGTTCAAACTCTGAAGGCCCTATAACCACTGAATCTGAAAACGCAGGAAAACTCAAAGTGAATGAAGACCTGTCATGTAGACATACAGGAACAAGATGCACCTCCTGTATTCAATGAGTGCATTGGTTAGTTTAACAACTCGTTGCCAACTCATTATTGAGTCAAGACTAGTCGGAACAGTCCATGTGAAGTCACTTGTCTGGTTAGGGTACATATGGTATTCCTGAGTTACAGATAGGATTGCAAAATTCTAGAAATGTTCCCACAATTCCCAGGTTTTCCTGGAATCAGGAGGTAATAAGCAGGGAGTAAGTAATCCTAAAACTTGGGAATCCTCCAACCGGGATTTCAGGGAAACCTGGGAATTTTGGGAACGTTTCAGTAATTTTGTAACCCTAGTTATAGATGAAGTTGTTTGTCCTACTTCAACCACGGAGTGTTTAACAATCGAAAACAGAGATCAACATATCCACATTCCCATCTGGTCCACAAACCCTGATGTTGCGTTGACCCAAACACTGTAATATCGCTATAGGAAAAAGAAAGTCCTACACTCTTTATAACCCCGTCACTGTGTGACCGAAAAGGTTTACGGAAATAAATACGAGTTATATAGAATGTGCAACTAACTTTCCCTTTTTGGGCTGCAACTCGTCAACATTTTGGGTGTGCGTCTCAACATGTTCTTGTTCACTAAGCTACTGGGCCTTTTGCAGCTGTGCAATTAAGTAAATCCTTAATGACAAAGCTCGCACAAATGTAATCTCCCCTTTAAAGTGAAGGCAGCTACAATACACACTTCTGAATGAGTTATGACAATCATCATTCACATTGTTTGTTTTGCTGACGCTACCACTTAGGTCAGTATGCTGACAGTGCCATTTACGATGTCATCATAATTCCTCTAAAGGTTATCCAGTTCAACACTATCCTAAATATGGGAAAACAACTGAAGTCAGCTTGAATTGCACAACCCAAGCTGCTTGCATTTTCAAGTATGCTACCTCACCAAATAAAGACTACAAATGAGATACTGTCACTTTAAAAAAAGAGAGGTTAAACAATATTCACAAATGTACATTTAAGGCTTAATTGTATAGCACTAACAATAGTAGCAGCAGTAAACCACTTCTGAATTAATAATAACAATAATGATCATAATAATAATATATTATTAAAGCAAATCGATGACATTTTTTTCCCACAATGCTGAACAGCTTCGGTGTACATCTTGGACGAATCTCTCCTCATGTCTGAGCAGTTTTCAATGTATCATAGAATCTTGGCCCGGGACTGGGCCTTTAACAGAATCCGTCAATCCTTTTTCTCTCAACATTAGATTTAAGTACACTTCGCCTCTCCCATTCAGACTATTGTTAGAGAGAAGTACGTTTAGAAAGAGCACTACATTTGAGGAAGAAGAACGAAAATGTCTGAGCAATATATTAATTCCACATTCATTTTGCACAGGAATAGAAGGGGATTGGGACATGGGCCAACCGGGACCTCCCAGATGGCCCTTGATTTATCAGATCTGACAGAATGGGAGTGAGAGAGGGTGCGAGATTGTCAACCGTGAGCTAGGTCAGCCATCACACTTCCCTCCCTACTATCCTAGTCAATGGCCCGACACACCTAACACACCACCCAGACAAAGACACACACCCTGTGGGTTAACCTTTCCCATAGCTGTAGATCACTTGCACACACACACCCTCAGCTGGAGACGACATTCCAGACATCTAACACTAACAACCCCCCCCCCCCCCCCAACACACACATTAATTTCCCCCCTCAAAAGTACCGGAGCAATATCATTAAAGGCCATATTTGCCATGTTGCCAGATGTTCTGCTGTTAGACTAGGAAACGCCTGCTTCTGAATGCTAAACCAAGTCCGTCTCTCTCCTCAAAGTGAGGGCTGGGTACAATAGAAGGGTGCTCTCTCCCTCAGAGCGGTCTCAAATAACCACTCTCTTTGTCCTCTGCAATCGATCCTTAACATGAACATGAAAAAAAAACTCATTGGAAATATATATGTATACATTATACACATTTAATATATATTTTTGTTTTATATTAAATTCTTATATAGACAAACACGTTTTTTTTTGCGAGGTGTCGATTACATTTCGGTAGACGCCTCGAGAGGACACAAATATGACTGAGAAAGACCGTCGAAGCTTCGGTTGCGCGATGAGCCATCATCATCATCATCATCACTTCACCCCATGGGATATGGAGCGTGGCCCTGCAGAACATTACAAAAGGCGTCCAGACATTCTTGAGAAAGCGCGTGGAGTGCAGGGCTCGAAGTCACACACAGTTAGCAGTGAGAGTTTTGAGAGGGCGCGGGACAGGAGACTGCAGGGGCTCCAGTTATCACTGAAGCGTTAGTACTGCAGGCGATGGCCTTTGGGCTGAGCTGCGCAGAGCTGGAGCAGAGGAGGTACTATGTAAGAATGTGAGCCGTGGAGTGAATGGAGACAAACTCGCGCAGGATATTCTTGGCCATCTCCATATTGTTCTGTGCAATCATCAGGGCTTTCTGGATGTCTTGGTAGGTGTAGCCTTGGCTCATGAGATGCTCGATCTCGCTGGTGATCTTGGGGTTGGCTACTCCTCCACCGCCTTCTGACCCTCCTCCACCATATCCACCTCCTCCGGTGCCTAATCCAGGAGGTATGGGGCTGGGCCGGTGCTCTGAGTTGATGCGGCGGGGGAGGGGCTTGGGAGGCCGCTCTGGGGCGTCGCTGGACTCTGAGAAGGCTAGAAGAACAGGGAGGAGAATAGAACAGCATTCACACCACAAACCACAGAACAACAAGCAGCATCCACATTACAATTCAGTACTCCTGCCCAAATCTTGATTCGCAATCGTAAGTCTTGAAGACAGCATAAGGGTGCTCTTTGAGATAACATTTATAAATATAGGAATACAATACCAGGGACAATCTTGTTAAATACCCAGGGTTGTTCAACCGTTCGAGACTGGGCCGGAAAAACTCTGGGCTCTAGTAACAGCCTATATCTTACAACTGCAGATGAGAATTAGTTATTTATTTAACTCAAATCTGGTGCACCGTTTGTCGTACATATTCTCTATCAAATAAACGACCTTGGGCCCAGTGTTCCCTGGTCAGATCAGGTCAGGAAAACCTCCCCGCCCTACAAATTAACTATAGGGTTCTGAAACACGTGCCTCTGAAGCCACATGCGGCTGTTTAACTACCCCCTTTTCAAACTTTTGACCCTACAAATTAACTATATCACCGGCTCTGAGTTGTTGGGGGCCTTACAGGCGGACGCTCCGGGCTTGCTGTCCATGAAGAGATGGCTTAAGGCGGCGGCCCCCAGCTCGGACAGGGTGTGTCGGGCCGGGGCCACGGGCAACACTGGTTTGGGGATGTCGTAGCCATTCTCCTCTTCTACCTCCTCAGGGGGCTCCCGGACTGGGCATGGGGGCTCCCGGACTGGGCAGGGGGGCTCCCGGACTGGGCAGGGGACCTCCCAGATGGGGCCATTGGTACTGGCCAGGGGGGGCAGCTCAGAGTAATCTGGGGAACGGAGGGATTGACAGTGGGGTCAGAAGGGTGAATTGAAACAATGGCATTTTAATCTCTCCGAATAGAATGGAATCGAATAGTGTGGGCTATAATAGAATAGAGTGGGATAGAATAGAATACAGTGGGATAGAATAGAGTGGGCTATAATAGAATACAGTGGGATAGAATAGAGTGGGCTAGATGGTGGGCTAAAATGAGAATAGAGATGGAGTGCTGAACTAGCAAAGATGGGGTATACTGCATGTGTGTTTATAATAAGCAGAAGCAGATAGGGTTGAGAACAGAGAGTTGGCCACAAAGTACTGGTCAAAAGCAGTGAACTACGTAGTGAACAGGGTGCCATTTGGCACGCAGCCATAGTGTCGTGGTAGGGCAGTACCCGAGTCTCTGGCCAGGTGAGACAAGGAGGCGGTGAGGGCCTGGGCCTGGATGTTATACATGGCTTCATACATTTGAGGTCCTTCATCCAGGTCATTCAGCATGGGCCTACCAAACACAGGAAGGGGAGAGAGACTAATAGGACATGACCAGATTTTTAAAATTATTTTTCTACTTGTGTTTTTTACTATTGACATGCAATCAATTGTCAGAATAAGAAAATACATCATTGAAGATGTACACAGTACCCCTACAATATAATCAGCATGATCAATTCACTTACAGTGACACTTTTCAATGAAGTGTTTCTCAATTAGAGGGTATTCTGCCTTATAGCAGAGGGTGCTTACCATGAGTTGAGAGAGGTAGGCTGGGGGGGTTTGGGGACTGGGGTCTCTGCCACCACAAGGGGGACTGCCATGGGGGCCAGGACAGGCCGAGAGGTGGGGATCATGTAGTCGGACTCGTCGTCACTCTCATAAGCCTCCTCCCCAGCCACAGGCTTCAGACCTGGATGGGGTCTGACAACGCAGGGAGAGAGAGGGGGACAGTTAATATAACCAGGGCCAGGAGATTTTGGTACCTGATCAGGGAAAACGCTGGGTTCTGAGTATAGGCTATACCTAGGACAGAGTTTTTCTGGGTATAGTCACTTGGTCCGAAAAAACTCCTGGCCCTATACATCATAAAACACATTCACACAGCAGGGAGAGGAGTGTGTACTGTACTGTACCTTGTTGCCAGAGCATAGATGGCATTGGCCGAGACTGAAGGCTTCACTTTGGGGTTGTCATACTCCTGACTGCCAGAAGCCGTGCCTCCAAAACTCTGGGGAGGAACATAGAAGACAGACAATACACACAAAGTCCTATTTCTGTAAATACCCATTTGTGATCCCCATACAATTGTATGCAGTCTTGGTATAGGTTAAATCCATGTCTGTGAAAGCACATTTCATCAACTGCTCTAATAGAAGCTAGTATTAGACCTTGGCTCCCGTCACCAGCTGATGGTCCAGACTGAGCGAGCTGTTGTTCCTCTGTCCGTCTGTGCATCCGTCTAGGGCTGAGGGTAGGGCCAGGGGGAGGGAGTGTCTGTTGGAGAGCTCCCGGACCCCCCGCGTGTCTCCCACACTGGGTGGCTGTCCGGGGGCCTTGGGCACTGGCCTGGGGTTCCAGTCGGCCAGGTTGCGGTTGGGCGGGGCCGGGGGCAGCTTGGGCTCCCCCAGGGGGGTGCAAGGTAGGGGCCGTCTGCCGAGCCATCCGTCAGGCCCGGCAGAGAGAGGTCTGTCTGTGGGAGGAGGGGGCGGCAGGTTCCTCAGGGCTGGAGGCAGGGGGAGAGGCTTGTCCTTGTGGTGGGAGGACGCCTATGGGAAAGGAGAGCACAATTACAGACCATGAGGACAATCAATTTAATCTGTTTTCAAAGGAGGAAGTAGCCTACTTCATAGGAGTATTTGTCAACTTATCACGGAAGCACATTAATTAACAGCAGTAATGCCAAAAATACTTTGGTTTTTAAACAAAGGTTTTTGGTTTCTGCTATACAAAACATGAATTATTATTTGTGTGTTTCTATTCAACCTCCACTGTCCTCCAACAGCGGCTAAATAGGCCCCTCTCTCACACATTTCAACTTATGACATTCCGATTTGTCTATTGCTGTTAGACTGTGAATGAGCAGAGAGCTTGCCTTGGATGCGGCCCCTGGGCTGGATGCTCCTGGGGGGTTGGTGGGTCGGTGCTGCAGGAGGTCAAGGCGGGGGGGCACGGGGGGCAGGGAGGACTGGGGTGCCAGGGACATGGGCGAGGGGGGCCGCTCCACCTGCAACGCACCAACATCACCCCACAGCTCAGGAAGAGAGTTCTGGAAACTTTTCACTGCACACTTACTCTTCAATACCAGAGAAAACATTTCCCATCACATCAAAACTGTGTGTAGTCTCACTCTCAAAGTATTCATCTATTCAAGCTTACTCCACTGGCTGAGTTCTGACGTGTTACAAACAGACAGCTGAAAGATGTTGGCTCACAACAGGAGAAAAATGGTCCTGCACATCAAACACCTGGAAGAACCTGACCTTAGAAGTCAAAGATGAAAGCTATGTGATCTTACACTCTGAAGGTGCGATAAAGAGAGAGGAAGAGTTCCTCAGAACAGTTCAGTTTACAGCAGGGGTGCACAACTATAGTCCACAAGGATTACAGTAGGCTATATGCCCACATTCAGTAGGCAAACCTTGAGAAAAAAACATTATTTGTGACTGAATCTATCTGAACGTTCCACAATGTTGTGCCTTGCTGAGCGTGGCCCAGGGATCGAGGAAGAGTAATGTAAAGTTGTCCCTAGACACTGATCTTGGGTCAGTTTTGCATTTTCCCCACTAATGTTAAGGTTAAGATTGGGGGAGGGGAAGCTGATCCTAGACCTGTACCTAGAGGAAACTTCACCCCGGAGCTATAGAGAAGAGGGCTCCATATCAGCTTTAGGCCCCAGCTAGACGGCGTTCACCTTGGAACAGGCCAGCTTGCTCATCATGAGGTGGGGGTCTTCCAGCCGGTCGTCGTCGTCATCGTCGTAGCTGGGCGAGGGGGCGCCCTCCGCACCGAACAGGCCCCTGCAGCCCCCGTAGGAGCCCCCTATGGGGTCCTTGGGGTCAAAGGGGTCAACTACGATGGGCTCCGTGCCCTTGATCTCACAGCGGCAGAACGGGCAGCCCTGACCCTCCGACTCCTGAAGGAGAAGAAAATGAGAGAGAGAGAGAGAGAGAGACAGAGAGACAGAGAGACAGAGAGACAGAGAGAGAGAGAGATATTATGGAAATTCATGTCTATATGAGGATGCACATGCATGCACCCACATACACACTTCTGCCCACTGACCCACCCACTGACCCACCCACACACCCGCCCTACCCAGCAGTGTGAGAGAGACTAGGTGTACAGTACCTGCCAGGCGGTGAGACAGGAGGTACACATGAGGTGACCGCAGGGCTCGATCTTCACGTCCTTGTCGTTCTCCGCACAGATCTTACACAGCTGGAAGGTGGAGCCCATCTCACAGTACAGCTCATATTGCTCCTGAGGACATACACACAGAGATACATACAGTCAGCCATGGGACTTCAGCAGACCTCCATGAGCGCAGGATAACACACAAATAGAGCACATTAAAGCACCCTTAGTTGAGTTTGGTTCTTACTGTATATGGCAAATAAAAGGAACCAGGGTCATGTTCAGTAGGGCACACCATAGCAAAACATTTTGAAACAGAAAATGAATGATAATTTCCTACTGGACAAGTTCAGATAGTACCCTGTTTCACTCAGTTTCAAAACTTTTTCTCTACTGAACAGGACCCAAAATTCAGGAAGTGCAGTATGTACTGTAAGGTTATGAATATATATGAGAGAGAGAGAGAGAGAGAGAGAGAGAGACCCACCTGTGTGACTTTGATATGGTCTTGTGGCGAGGGTTCACACAGTCCTGTGAGGTCTGGGTTCTGGGTGCGCCCGTCAGGGAACAGGTAGCTGGACAGAGGAGATGGAACTCTGGTCACTCACAAGGGTCAACCAACACACATAGGTTGTGTCTGAAATGACACCCTATTCCCCATATAAAGCGCACTACTACTGACTACAGCCACACAGGGCTGCCACATAGGATCAAAAGCACGGCCATATTGTATGTTTTTGACTCTGTCTTTCATGTAACCTTGAGACCTAAGCGATACTTTTCAGTGGCTTTATAGAACACATGTATCAGGCTCTTTGCAAAGCAAACCTTTCACGGACTAATTCAGCATTTGATTACAGGTTTGAAGACGCTTACCACAGCGTTTATAAAACAAAACAGAAGTTTGAACACTGGCATACTTTAGGACAGTTGTTCTCAACTGCGGTCTTCGAGTACCCCCAGCAGTAGACATTGTTGTTGAAACCCCAGACAAACACACCTCATTCACCTTGTCAAGAAGTTGATAAGTAGAATCAGGTGTGCCACATTGTTTTTAGAAATATCAACTCTTGGGTTGAGACTGGAGAGAGAGACACGGACAGGCGACACAGAAAGACAGACAGAAAGACAGACAGAGAGAGAGACAGAGAGAGACACAGATAGAGAGAGGTTGGTGAACTCACAATCCTTCCCGGAAGCCGTCGATGAGGGCCTGGAAGAGGGGCTTGTTGTGGGGGATGGTCTGCAGGATGTTCCCATCTGCAGTGACGTAGCCGATGGCCCACTGGCCCAGCCGCGTGCAGCTCAACCTGAAGATGTAGCTGTGGAACACACACACACACACACACACACACACACACCAAGGACTAATGACAACAGGGAAAACACCCTAAATAAAATGCCCAATCCCAGTTCATCCCCACCCTAAGCAAACTCCTGGTGAGCTTCTCTGTCCTGAGTTCAATACTAAAGGATATATTTTCATTAACAAGCCTTTTATAAAGCAATTGTAGGCATTACAAGCTTTGTAAACAATATACTGTATGCTTATAAATTGTTTTGCTTATAGTGTGAGTGTTTGTGTGTATACACACCCCCACCAATCCACCGCTTACAATGCAGTATATATGCTTGCAATGCTTGTAAATCTTTATACATCACAGAATCCTCAAGTATTATTAGTATGAATATACACTATCCATAAATAGTTAAGTAATGCTTATTCATTAAAATCATTATAAAGCGTCACCAATTTTGTCATCTAGGCCTAAGAGGTGAATGAAGGCTAAATACTTGCTGCGTTGTGACACACACTTGCTCTCTGTTGGAGCAAGTATTGACATCAGCCCAGTCTCTACAATACACCTATTGATGCTTGGTACCATGCTGTTCCATGTGCCACAGGGGGCACGTGACACCGGGGGTGAGAGCGGACTGGCGCCTTCTGTGTCATTGTGTAAGTGTGCGTTAGACAGCCAAGCTGGTGGTGCTCGCCAGTGTGTGTAAGGTCCAGTTCGTTAGTGTGTGTAAGCTCATGACAGACAGACTGCGTAAGAATGCAGTGTGCTTAACAGTAGTCTAAGTAGCTGTATTGGAGTGTGAGAGTATGTCAAGTCAGTGACTAACATAATGTAAAAAAAATAAATATATATATATATATATACACACAGTGAGGGAAAAAAAGTATTTGATCCCCTGCTGATTTTGTACATTTGCCCACTGACAAAGACATGATCAGTCTATAATTTTAATGGTAGGTTTATTTGAACAGTGAGAGACAGAATAACAACAAAAAAATCCAGAAAAACGCATGTCAGAAATTGTATAAATTGATTTGCATTTTAATGAGGGAAATAAGTATTTGACCCCTCTGCAAAACATGACTTAGTACTTGGTGGCAAAACCCTTGTTGGCAATCACAGAGGTCAGACGTTTCTTGTAGTTGGCCACCAGGTTTGCACACATCTCAGGGGGGATTTTGTCCCACTCCTCTTTGCAGATCTTCTCCAAGTCATTAAGGTTTTGAGGCTGACGTTTGGCAACTCGAACCTTCAGCTCCCTCCACAGATTTTCTATGGGATTAAGGTCTGGAGACTGGCTAGGCCACTCCAGGACCTTAATGTGCCTCTTCTTGAGCCACTCCTTTGTTGCCTTGACCGTGTGTTTTGGGTCATTTTCATGCTGGAATACCCATCCACGACCCATTTTCAGTGCCCTGGCTGAGGGAAGGAGGTTCTCACCCAAGATTTGACGGTACATGGCCCCGTCCATCGTCCCTTTGATGCGGTGAAGTTGTCCTGTCCCCTTAGCAGAAAAACACCCCTAAAGCATAATGTTTCCACCTCCATGTTTGACGGTGGGGATGGTGTTCTTGGGGTCATAGGCAGCATTCCTTCTCCTCCAAACACGGCGAGTTGAGTTGATGCCAAAGAGCTCGATTTTGGTCTCATCTGACCACAACACTTTCACCCAGTTCTCCTCTGAATCATTCAGATGTTCATTGGCAAACTTCAGACGGGCCTGTATATGTGCTTTCTTGAGCAGGGGGACCTTGTGGGCGCTGCAGGATTTCAGTCCTTCACGGCGTAGTGTGTTACCAATTGTTTTCTTGGTGACTATGCCTTGAGATCATTGACAAGATCCTCCCGTGTAGTTCTGGGCTGATTCCTCACCGTTTTCATGATCATTGCAACTCCACGAGGTGAGATCTTGCATGGAGCCCCAGGTCGAGGGAGATTGACAGTTCTTTTGTGTTTCTTCCATTTGCGAATAATCGCACCAACTGTTGTTGGTCTTGTAGCCCATTCCAGCCTTGTGTAGGTCTACAATCTTGTCCCTGACATCCTTGGAGAGCTTTTTGGTCTTGGCCATGGTGGAGAGTTTGGAATCTGATTGATTGATTGCTTCTGTGGACAGGTGTTTTTTATAAAGGTAACAAGCTGAGATTAGGAGCACTCCCTTTAAGAGTGTGCTCCTAATCTCAGCTCGTTACTTGTATAAAAGACACCTGGGAGCCAGAAATCTTTCTGATTTAGAGGGGGTCAAATACTTATTTCCCTCATTAAAATGCAAATAAATTTATAACATTTTTGACATGTGTTTTTCTGGATTTTTTTGTTGTTATTCTGTCTTTCACTGTTCAAATAAACCTACCATTAAAATTATAGACTGATAATTTCTTTGTCAGTGGGCAAACGTACAAAATCAGCAGGGGATCAAATACTTTTTTTCCCTCACTGTATAGTCATGGTTATAATGAGATGGTAACTTCAATGAAAGTGTATAATAAACATCACCATCTCTCACTGTGTTAGTGCTTTGACAATAGCGGAGAAAGTGTATTTGGCTGCGTTGTGTGTGTGTGTGTGCTCCTGTCAGTGTGCATATGCTATGTGTGTTTGTGCGCGCGTGTGCATGTCAGTGTTGCATATGTGTACATATGTAGTCTCGCTCACTGACCTGCCAGGTTTGTGGATGAACTTCTGCAGCCGGGCCTTGACCTCATCGTAGGTGAGGAAGGCCATGTAGCCAGGGTGAGTCACCGCCAGACTGTTCCAGTTCCTCAGCAGAGATGACCAAGGCTGTATACACACACACGGGCACACAGAGCAGAGGGTGAGTCACGTCGTCTCAGGAGTGGTACAACACGGTGGTACAACGTGGAGAGTAATGCAACAAATCGAATGAACCATGATTTCCAGCTCCCTTTACTTTCTCCAGGGATGCAACCCTATCTCCATATCAGAGCTGCCCCCAGGGAATGGTAACGTGGTAACGATAGTGAGAAGTTACTGTACGAAGAGTAAATCACCCTGTGATGCACTACGCCTGCCTGGACTCAAATTAGTGTTACTCTGTCAGAGTACACTGACACACCATGAGGAACTATTTTCAGCTGGCTGATCTTGTGACAAGAGGAAAGAGGAAATAGAGTTAGTCCAGTGTTCTACTGCTAGCAATGGCAGCTAATGCGCTACAACAAACTCCTTTAAAATGTACTTAGCAATTAAAATCAAATCAAATCAAATTTTATTGGCCACATGCGCCGAATACAACAGGTGCAGACATTACAGTGAAATGCTTACTTACAGCCCTTAACCAACAGTGCACTTATTTTTAACAAAACAGTAAAAATAAAACAACAACAAAAAAAGTGTTGAGAAAAAAAGAGCAGAAGTAAAATAAGATAACAGTAGGGAGGCTATATATACGGCGGGGTACCGGTGCAGAGTCAATGTGCGGGGGCACCGGCTAGTTGAGATAGTTGAAGTAATATGTACATGTGGGCAGAGTTAAAGTGACTATGCATAAATAATTAACAGAGTAGCAGCAGCGTAAAAGGATGGGGTGGGGGGGCAGTGCAAATAGTCTGGGTAGCCATGATTAGCTATTCAGGAGTCTTATGGCTTGAGGGTAGAAGCTGTTGAGAAGTCTTTTGGACCTAGACTTGGCACTCCGGTACCGCTTGCCGTGCGGTAGCAGAGAGAACAGTCTATGACTAGGGTGGCTGGAGTCTTTGACAATTTTGAGGGCTTTCCTCTGACAAATTAGCTAGCATACGTAGTGGTACAAAGGGGGATCCACACCAGTGCGTTTGTGAGGTCTCTTGACACTTCAAAAACTGTGAAATAAATTGTGAAGTGAACTCATGCTGATGGTTTAGAGGCAAAATAAAAGCAGAACCACAATGACCAAAGACCTAGCCTTCTACAACACAGTTAACCAATGGGCTATGCATGTATGGTGACCCAACAGACCCCAAAATGGCGTCCTGTCACTTCCTCTTCTAAAGATGTATTTTCAGATATCATTTTTTAAATTTGTGGCTGTAACTGTGAAAGTAATTACATTTGGACACTTTTCTTAGCACAGTCTATGCCAAATGTACACAACCCTAGCACACGGTCCTTGAGTCAAGGCTAGGCTATATCAGACGGTTGTTTTAGCTTTTACTTCAGCTTCAGTCACAATATGACCAGAAAGAACGTTACCTCACACCTATTGTCATACGTGTTCCTCTTTACCTCAAGCACTACCAGGTGCTAAATGTCATGCATGCAGCATCACCGATATGAGCCATTAGCAAATCTACTACTGCACTGAACCTAACCATCAGATAGCATAGGAGCCATAGTCATAGATAGACATCCCTGACAGACAACAGTCATAATTATACATTTACTCCTACCAGTATCTTTATCATCAGTTTGGCTATCGTACAAAGGAAGCTAGCTAGTAGCAAATGGATATGTCACAAATGGCACCCTATTCCATATAGTGCACTACTTTTAACCAGACCACCCTGTCTTGTGTTACTAACTGGAAATGATGCTTCCATCCGATTGTGCCCTACTGCAGTGTATCCACTATCTATCGATCATGCAGGTTAATTTACATGCTGATGAGAAGCATGACCTTGATGTGCAGGGGCTTCAAAAGAACATGAATGCTCTCTGCAAACAAGCCGCGGCTATTTCTAGGGCTCCCAAAACCCAAATAAAGAGTCTGTATTCAGCTGTTCAGCACGACTCGCAGCCAGCCAGCCACCTAGGTTGCACTGCATCCATTCCACTCACTATCACACAAGCCAGGGAGCTAGCTAGGGCCTAATGAAAAAAAGAAACCATCAAATCAGACTGAAGAACACTTCCTCTCAGGAAACATATATTAGTCATCCCTTAGAAACAACAAAAGAAACAGATGACTAAAAGGGGGAACATTTATAAAAACCTTAACTTTCACATTTTGAAATTGGCATGCAAGTGGCGTGGGTTATATTCATTAGGCACCAAACGGAAGAAAATGGACTGAAACAAGGAGCAACTACTTGGACTTGTCCAATAAGAAACACTAATTTCCGTTGTAAAACTTTTTACAATATTTTCCGGTGCGTGCCCTAATTAATACGACCTTGTGCTTTGTGCATCTTAGAGCTCTCTATAATGAGACAATTACTTAGGGGGACATTGGTTGTTGGTCTTTTAGCATTTAGGCTACTGCACACAGGCGTAGCAGCACTAAACATTATGTATGTGAAGAAGAGCAGTGGGTGGGGGGGGGGGGGTGGTTTCCCGGACACAGATTAATCTCCATTGAAAGTAGTCCAAGATTAGACTTAATCTGTGTCCGGGAAACCGGCCCTAGAACTTGTTTCAATGCAACTAAATTAGAGATTTGTCACTTATGGATCAAAATGTCAAAAACGTCAATAAAGCAGACATATTTCCAATGAACTAGTCAGATTCCGAGGTCCTTTGTGACAGGACGGTTATGTTGTGGTATAGTTTGTGCCTCACAGCTGACCAGCAGGCCCAGTAAGCGCTCTCTGTACAGTGGCCCCTTAACGACTTGATAGAATTAGCCCCAAAACGCCACTCCTCTCCTAGGCACTTACCAATTTCATCCAGTCCCCTGACTCCCTGTAAAGCAGCGACCCAGGTTTTGAATGGGTCATGAGTGTTTTGTTTTTTATACTCCAGTCTGAACTTAAATGACTAAAACCAGGTAGAAAGTGTGTAGAAATAATAATGAACCTTTATATTTAAATAATTTAACATCTGAATTACTTTACTTCAATCATAGTATTTTCAATATATCATTATTTATTTAGAGGATTTAGTTGATTTTGTAGTCTCAAACCAACATTTATGCAAAATTGAATTATTGACAATGAAAAAGGTTCCCTTGTCATATAATTGCCACATTTACTATCAATATAGAATAAAAACACAGTATTCCAGATTGCATTTTAGCAAAAATAAATAAAATCACGAAGCGAATATTGGATTGCGACTAAGACAACCTGGTTCAATATGGGTCCAGAAGCAAAAAACTGTTGACAACCACTGATGTAAAGTGCAAGAGTTCTTTAAGAGTTGGAGACTGCATTATGCCAACAACAAGGGGCAGCAAGATGCCTCTATTCAGCCTGGAGACACGCGAAGCAGCCACTCAACTCAAAACACTTGCCCCCTCTCTCTCTCTCTCAGCAGGCAGGCAGGCAGGCAGGCAGGGATGCAGGCAACTGCCACGCAATACCAAATAGCAGAGAAACACACATGGCCACAATAGTCTCGCTTTGCCAAAGTCATTTATAGTTAGAAAGGATGGCTACGGTACAGTTGAAGTCGGAAGTTTACATACACCTTAGCCAAATACATTTAAACTCAGTTTTTCACACTTTTAATCCTAGTCAAAATTCCCTGTCTTAGGTCAGTTAGGATCACCACTATATTTTAAGAATGTGAAATGTCAGAATAATTGTAGAGAGAATTATTTATTTCAGCTTTTATTTATTTCATCACATTCCCAGTGGGTCAGAAGTTTACATACACTCAATTAGTATTTGGTAGCATTGCCTTTAAATTGTTTAACTTGGGTCAAACGTTTTGGGTAGCCTTCCACAAGCTTCCCACAATAAGTTGGGTGAATTTTGGCCCATTCCTCCTGACAGAGCTGGTGTAAATGAGTCAGGTTTGTAGGCCTCCTTGCTCGCACAAGCTTTTTCAGTTCTGCCCACAAATGTTCTATAGGATTGAGGTCAGGGCTTTGTGATGGCAACTCCAATACCTTGACTTTGTTGTCCTTAAGCCATTTTGCCACAACTTTAGACGTATGCTTGGGGTCATTGTCCATTTGGAAGACCCATTTGCGACCAAGCTTTATCTTCCTGACTGATGTCTTGAGATGTTGCTTCAATATATCCACATAATTCTAGTTCCTCATGATGCCATCTATTTTGTGAAGTGCACCAGTCTCTCCTGCAGCAAAGCATCCCCACAACATGATGCTGCCACCCCCGTGCTTCACGGTTGGGATGGTGTTCTTTGGCTTGCAAGGCACCCCATTTTTCCTCCAAACATAACGAAGGTCATTATGGCCGAAAGGTTATATTTTTGTTTCATCAGACCAGAGGACATTTCTCCAAAAAGTACGATCTTTGTGTTAGATTAATTTGTATTTTAAGAATAATGACTAAAGGATTTCACCCCAAATACAGTATAAATGTGTGAACGGTGTTAAGAGTTATAATGTAGTGGCAACCCACTAACAGAGGGGGGCGGGACTAAACATTCCAGGGTGAAGGAGACTGCGGAAACTGTTTAAGAAAGCCTCCTAAAGGTGGGCGGAGCAAAGTGCCTTTGTGTGTCAAGGGGTATAAAACAGTAGTGTATGGGTTTTGGCGCCAGAGCTCTCCATGAATAAAAATACAGATCATTCTTGTTGGTTGTGGACCTTGAATCATTTATGATTAAAACCAGGGCCTTACAACCTCTGGTAATGATTCAAGCTTAGGTTGTATTAGAGATAGAAATGCGTGCACTTTGTCACCATGTGCAGTTGCCAACCGTAGTCTGGCTTTTTTATGGCGGTTTTGGAGCAGGTGCTTCTTCCTTGCTGAGCAGCCTTTCAGGTTATGTTGATATAGGACTTGTTTTACTGTGGCTATAGATACTTTTGTACTGGTTTCCACCAGCATCTTCAAAGGGCCTTTGCTGTTGTTCTGGGATTGATTTGCACTTTTGCACTAAAGTAAGTTCATCTCTAGGAGACAGAAAGCGTCTCCTTCCTGAGCGGCATGACGGCTGCGTGGTCCCATGGTGTTTATACTTGCTTACTATTGTTTGTACAGATGAAAGTGGTACCTTCAGGCTTTTGGAAATTGCTCCCAAGGATGAACCAGACTTATGGAGGTCTACAGTTTTTTTTCTGAGGTCTTGGCTGATTTCTTTTGATTTTCCCATGATGTCAAGCAAAGAGGCACTGAGTTTGAAGGTAGGCCTTGAAATACATCCACAGGTACACCTCCAATTGACTCAAATGATGTCAATTAGCCTATCAGAAGCTTCTAAAGCCATGACATCATTTTCTGGAATTTTCCAAGCTGTTTAAAGGCACAGTCAACTTAGTGTATGTAAACTTCTGACCCACTGGAATTGTGATACAGTGAATTATAAGTGAAATAATCTGTCTGTAAACAATTGTTGGAAAATAACCGACCTTCCAAAACTATAGTTTGTTAACAAGACATTTGTGGAGTGGTTGAAAAACAAGTTTTAATGACTCCAACCTAAGTGTATGTAAACTTCCGATTTCAACTGTAAGAGGCTATTGGCTACAAAAATGGCCACTGTTTGGCCCATTCCCCCCGACTTTTAAACCGTAGATAGGAGTTAGTGTGTGATGGTACAATGGTGTGTGGTGGAACTATGGAGGACTATATCTGGGAGCTACAGTAGATACACAACACAGACACGTTCACAATAATGGCGTTATGTTAGGCCCTTTTCTCAACTCATCTCTCAAGAGAAATGGTGTACATTGTCGCAGTGGTGTGTAGTACGAGGGGGGCTGTGTGTGTGTGTGTGTGTGTGTGTTTGACCATGCATTTGAGTGTGTTTGTATGTGCTTGCATCTATGCATGCAAGTGTGTGTGTGCATGTGTGTGTGAGTGTAGGCCCGACCTGGAAGAGCCTGGTGAAGATGTCGAACTCGAAGACGGAGATGTAGTCATTGCAGGCGAGGTCGATGGTGGACTTGAGGGCCATGGCTTCCAGGCCCGAGCTGATGGGGTGGAACTCATGCAGGGCCTGCCGGAACACCTTCCAAGGCACTATAGTCCTGAAAACACATCATCAGGACAACATATTTACTATACTATACCCATTGAGTGGAACAAGCAACGTTGATGCATTGTATTAAACCTTCCCTGATATTGCACTTACGATGTCCGATCCCTGAATATGGATGTTCCAAACATGTTATTCGCTACAGTGCAATAATAGTGTTTAGGGCAGGGGTCAACAATGACCTTAGGCCACGGGCCGATTTTGTTCTTTTTATGGAGACATTTTCGTCAGGCCATATGAAATCTTGTGGGCTTAATTTGGCCAGTTGCTTTTCCTGGTTCTGGGTGTTTATGGTGACTGACAAAAATGTGACTAATAAAAAGAGTGGTTTAGGAAGATAGTAAAACAAATTTAAGCTATTCAATTAACTACTTTCTATCTGCTTACCTAGGCTACCTCAAGTAGCTTGAAAGGTCAAAGCCATTTATTTCTTCCTGTTTCTATCATGTGGTGCATAAATATATCCAATCTTACCACTTAGATGTAAATACTTCCACTATGACTAGCTAGCTTGCAGTAAACGTCTACTTTTTGTAGAGAGCAAAGGTGGACTCACTTGTCCCCAAACGACCTTCTCCAGAACTCGGCAGCGTCAGCCTTGGTTATTCTGAAGTTATCCCCCTGGAACAGACCGTTGGGGAAGATGGCTTTGAGCTCGGCCAGCATGTGACTGAAGATCAGTGACAACTTGGTCAAGTTCCGTCTACAGAAGATGAACAGAGAGAGAGAGAGTATTATACAACTTCATGTTAGATGGTTCTTCACCCTGAAAGTAGTCTTATGGGCCAGAAGAAACTAATCCATGGTTCGGTTTTCTTTTAACAGCCACTACAAATTCCAGCTAACTTTAGCCACCTATAGCTAATATATCATGTTAACCTGGCTTTGTAATTTCCACACCACAACATATAGAGGCCAGGGGCTGAGGTCCATGGTGGGACCAGACCCCCATCACGCTACACACGCTAGCCTGGGCCCTGGGTGTGCAGGCTGGGGTTTGACGGGTATAAGGGAGGGGTGGTTGGAGGGAGGCGAGGCAACGACATGCCTGGTCAATTTTTCTGATTCCACCCGCCCCTGGGCACGAGCAGCGAGGTGGGGCAGGCGGGCGAGCGCAGTGGCGGCAGTGGGGAGAAAGTTGAAAAGAGCGTGCGTGATTTACGGGATAGCACAGTGGGGGATTGTGCGAGGTTCTCGGGCCGGGAAAATTGACATGCACAAGAGAGCGCGAGAGTGTAGCAGCAGCGTCGTCACAGCTGCCTCCAACCAGATTCTCCCTCACCTCTCTCTCGCTACTCTTCACAATGCCAGCACAGAGGAAGGGTGGGGAAGGGAGGGGGAGAGAGGGGGAGAGAGAGGAGAGGACAGAGACTTAAGATGAGCTCGAAAAGACAGAGTGAGGATAGAGACACCCTGCCAAATTGTGTGCTCTTGAGTGAGTGTGTGTGTGTGCGTGCCTGTGGGGGCATTTTTCACACTCAACCGTAAATGCGAGAAGATAAATACTTTTTTTGTGAATAGCTTTCCAGCTAAGCCTTAAAGTGAGTGAGGCGAGGAATTCTATAGTAGCAGCCTGCTGCCCCGCTGGAAATCAGCCCTGCGCCGTTTCCCCTTGTCACAACCCTTGCAAAACTCAGCCTGTCTTACAATTCAATTCTCTAATCCCTCCTTTACACTTTCCAGTTTAATTTCAAATTCATCAACCAATGGGCTTCATTTATCTCAACGATTTACTTTCTGCTGGAAAAGTATGCCAATTATGAGTGCCCACATTTCTAGAAGGGGAAGTCCTGTGGGTGAGGTTGGCATTACTGCCCCTAGCTAACTGAGTGGGCAGTGATGGCAAACAGAAAGTGTCAATTGGAGTCACCTTCACATAAGCGCGTGCGCACGCACACACACATTGTTTCTGTGAGGGTAGTCTTGCGTTACCATACCGCCAAAATCACGTCGCTGTCACGCCTCCCTTAGAGATCTGGATCATTTTTTATTTCAAAAAATTGTTTGAATGGTCTGCTGAATCCCAGTGGCAAGATTTTGATTGGATGTTACATTTCAAGAACCCTCCCCCCAAATGCCCATTGGTGCTACATGTTATGTTCGTTTTCAGACCAGGAACGATACAGTTTGCGGAGTTGGTCCGTAAGCTAGTTTGCAACATCGTAGAAAATCGAAGAAAAATTGGAGGAAAAACGTAATTCTGTTTTGCCAGAAGTGTGCTCTATACACAACATCAACATATCTTGATGGGATTTTAAAATCGACGATTTCCCGGCCATCCTCACGCACTGTTGCACCTACGACACTAATCTAGTAAACACTATTGGAGTTCCGCCCAAGCAAGGCATTTGATTGGTTTGATATGTTGTGCGGCATCAATGATTTACACTGGGTGTCCACCTCATTTAGCTATTTTTCTGCCATGAATTTCCCCAGGCTTCCAGTTTTTGGGAAGACTGGTTCTCGACGAGACGTGAGGGCATTGCTCTGTAGATGGCAAAGTGCCCTCGGTGAAGCACAGCCGTGCCCAGTCACGGGCCATGTGTGAGAGACTAGTGTGTGTGTCTCGTAACCATTAAGTGTCACATTCTATAAGACAGTGAGTTACACTGCCAATCCTGTGAGCGATGCTGTAGCTTTATGAGTTTACAATGTGCCTGCCTGCGTGTCTGTGATTCCTTTCCTCAAATCTCTGACTAGGGTAGGACGCTTGCTCTGTATTTCTCTGTGCGACTGGGCATGGCTCCAATGCTACAAGGCTATGCCAAGAGAGAGAGGGGGCCCTAACCCTTTAATGTATCTCCTGTATGTTGATTGATACAGAGACCAGCCTAGTGGACAGTGGAGTCGACACACTGCTTAGTCAACACACTCCTATCCGATCAGAGGGCAAGGTGGTGCTATGAAAACATTGTTTAGGCTACATCTATGCATATAGGCTAGTCCTCTACTCTACTTGTCCTCTGTCTGTGTGCGCCATCTGCTTTAACTCAAAACCAGTGTTCACAGATACAACAGCACCGAACAAAAGTTAGAATGTTCAAAAAAACTACAACAACTCAAAAACACATCCATTTATTATTTATGCCCATTCATTTTCCTCTGAAAAACCCAAGGACATCGTTAGCCGGAGAGAGAGAGAAATAGAGAGTGTGTTCCTAAGTAAATGCAACCTCAGTGCGTGGGCAGCTGGGTGTTTTGCTAACCACAGCGTGGCGTTTCTTTTTCTACGTCCAAAATGGCACACTATTCCCTATATAGTGCACTATTTTTGACCAGCGCCCATGGGGTTCTGGTCAAAAGTAATGCACTATATAGGGAATAGGGTGCATTTGGGATGCAACCCTTTTCTTATTCTGCATGCGCAAGTTAACCCGCAGATACATATGCCCCCTCAATCCAGCGCTGCCTCGACAACAGAGCACAGAGCCTAGATCCTCACCGTTACCGCGGCGATGGGCCAAGCTCTCCCTGGATACGGCGCTCATAGCGATCACCTCCTCTAAGGCCCTTTGACCTACAGTTGGCTGCTCCCTTCCAGTGTCCTGTTTTCCGCGATAGAAGGCGAGAAAGTTAAAGCCGTGGACCACTTGAAGCCAATTACTGGACGGACGGACGGTCTGGGGGACTAAATGACAGTGGCTGGGGCACTACACACATTATCCCTACATGACATTCGGGGAGAGGGGGCTTGACATCTTGTAAGCCTGGTGGTAAGCCTACTCTCAATGCAATACAATGTAGCCGTCGGTCTGTGAACTAGGATCCTCAACACTCAGCGTGCAGCAGCAACACAAGCACACCACAATACTCATAGACACTTCTACAGAGGAAAGAAACACCGCTGCCACAAGATGGAAATACTGGGTTCCCCTTTCATCACAGTATAAATGTAACTCTCCGGAAGTTGTGTCGCACCGGATCTCCATCAGGAAACAGCAGACTTACGCACACACACACTTTGACTGACACATGCTGACGCACCAATGCAAAACATACCAGAGGTTCACCTTTTCTTTTTATGAACTGTTTAATTCCTCTGTCATCCACCCTGATAAAGACTCTGAAAGACACGAGTCGTCGCCTAACCCCTGAATTTCCCACTCGAAAAGTGCTATTACGTGCCAACAGTGTTAGAGAATGCAACCGATGCCTAATCTTCCTATTTCCTGTCTAAATAGCCTTTACCACACTTGCATAGCCTATTTGCTGTGTCCCCAGGCCAAATAGGAAACTGTTAATAGCCTAATGTTCCTCAAAATCTACTGTGAGGACTAGATTATCTGTATTATTTTGAAACTGGCAGCAGTACGCCATAAATAAACATGATGGAGTGTTGCCTCTGTGTGTGTGCATATATATGTGTACATGCTTGTGCATACGTGCTTGTGTGTGCGTGCAGTGCGGTCGGGCTAGGGGTGATGTGCAGGCCAGTGTAACTGAAGCTGAAACGGCAACCTGGGAAGTGTCAACTGCATTTCCATTCACAGCAACACTAACAGCTTGGCCTATATGTGGCATGATGGGTAAAGGCCAGTCATTTGCATTTCACAGAGCCAAATGAAGTCCGACTCAGAGCACATAGGGGCCATGCCAGTTAATGGCCTCGTGTGCAATAAAAAGTGTGTCCCCCAAATGGCACCCTATTCACTGCATAGCACACTTCTTTTGACCAGGGCCCATAGGGTTCTGGTCAAACGTAGTGACCTAAAAAGTGAATAGGGTGCCATTTAAGGCGCACCCAAACATTCAGCGGCTCTCGTCGGCTTCAGTTCCATGGGGAACAATAAAGAATATGAAAGCTAGTCATAAACAGGGGTGTGAACGTTCAAACGAAATTGGGATCCTTAACGTTAAGAAAAATCCTTCACCAAAAAACAAATGTTTGTCCCCCCACCCACAAAATGTAAAATCAGAGTGCAGTTACCACAAAACATATTATTTTCTGTGTTTATAGCCCCCTAACTAGACGACAGGCTATAAAGGCCTGGGGAAAGTTGTGTAAATTAAATAAAACCAGAGGCGAACTTAAGGCTACTTTGGTGAATTTTTGAGGCATGCAAGACAAGACATTGCGAGATACAGATTACCAAGACATATGCGTCCGTTTCTTTCTGCCTGCCCCCTCGCGCTGGTTGGCCTGCTCTTTCTCTTATCTAATGATGCGCGTGTGTTCACTCTTCGGTCTGTTGCCTGTTGGATATCCTAGCCGCAAGACATTGTAAACCAAGAAATTGTGAGATACAGCATTCCATTGTGAGATACAGCTTTTGATTGCCGATAGATAGGCCTAGTGCACGGTTCTGACTGTCTGCCTGGTGGCCGACCTGCCTATACTGTGCCCCTCCCCTCGCTCTCCGTCCCTCGCTAGCTCGCTATGAAAGTTGCGAATGTTCTCGGAAGTACGGCAATTAATCAGTTTCCTCCGTTCCAAAAATACTGAAGGAGTCGATTCCTAGCGGAATGGAATCTTGACACTCAAATAAGAGTCGACACTACGTCATCGTCATTAACAGTTCGAAAATTGTCAGAGAAAGGAAAGCGACAGCAGCGAAGTCCTGTACGTAAGGTTGTCCCCGACTAAAAACAATCTTGGTCGACTTAGAGTAGTCTGTTCATTCGACCAATCGATTGTTCAACACTTTTAAACGTGTATTTTTCCTTAT